TCTGAGGCTGTCACTTTATCTCGTTTCTGGACATGTGCTGATGTTGTCATCTGTTGCTATTTTTGGGGCATATTCAGGAGTTATCTGTGGCCTTAGTATTTAGATGGGTGTGTATTTTGGTATTTTTTTATGCTTTCTGATTGCCTCCAGGTAGATGTGATCAGGAGGTAGGCTTCCTTTTTCACTCTTCTTCCTGAGAAATTTCAAGATGCCACTGTTGGTCATTGTGACGTAACTCAGAATTTAATTTTCAGCCTATTTCCTTTTTAGTCTGCCTGTCCCACTCCACAATCCCCATTCAGGTCTTTTTCCCAGTGGTAAATAGTTTAGGGTTGCTGTGGCCATTTTGCACTGCTGTTTGGTTTAAAATGGAAACTGCCACTTTAAATTTTGAGGAGCTCTATGCGCATGCGTAGTAGAACCCTCCACTGGTGGGGGTGGGTGTCCACTTGTTTTAGAACCCCCTCTAGTCACCAAAATGGAGGTGCGCAGCGAGCGAAAGACCAATGAATAGATAGAAAAAAAAGAAAAAAGAATGTCCACACCTTTATCTCCACGGTTCTGTCAGTTGTCTGTGGCTGCTGTGATCCTTCCCCCGCTTGGTCTCCGCCAAGATGCTAGCTCTGGGAGCAGTTTAGCATCTTGGATTAGAAAGCAATGGATTTCTTGCCTCTGCTACAAATTCCCCTAGCCATAAGCCTTCCAACCTTCTAAATATTCCTTTATATGTGGTTCAGAGTTCTGGCACCATCCCCTGAGCCTGCTTGGTCCAGTATTCTGTGTTGTTGCTGACGGAGCTCCTCACTGCATTTCTACCCAGTCCGCCATCTTGTTTGTTTTCCTTGAATCAGAAGACTCTTATTCCCATCTCCTTTCACCAGGCCTGTCTAGATAAGATGAAAACTATTCAGCAGAGATTCTACCTTCCTCCTGCACACTCTGAAACTAAACTCTCTCTTGCACACTTATAAGCCAGCCACTTAAAGCTTTTATAGCCCCCCCCCCATTTTAGGTAGCCAGTGTCTAAGTTGCCCATTCGAATTAACCCTGTGTATAGAGCAGATGGGTTTGATCCTTGATATGAAGACCCCTTCCCTCTCAGTTGGTATTTTTAGCTACCCCACCCATGTTTCCTTTATCAAATTTCTGTATCTTCCTCTGTTCAAGTTCTGATCATCAAGCCATCCATCAAAGCTAGGTCAAATGGGCACTATCTCCAAGTTTGGCCATTCTTTTTAAAAAAAATTTATTGTGAGTTGTGTGATAGTTTACATGGGAGAGCATTAGCTTTACATTCATCCTATTGTATTTCATTTCATTGCAATGATTACAATCCCCTCCATGCATCATCATTCAACAGCATTTGCTTCCATTCCCTCTTTTTTTTTTGGGGGGGGGGGGGATGTACACCAAAACACTCAGGAATATACAACCATTTAAACAACCAAAGGGCACACCCCATAAGCCTGCCTCCTGACTATCAGCACACAGCCTCTCTCCCTCCCTAAGTCCAGAGTCCCCAGCTGTTCCATCTCTGCCTCCATCTCTGGTGTCACTGCTTCTCTGGATAGGGTCCCACACTCTGCTCTTCTCCCTTGATGGTTCCAGGGTCCTAAGTTTGGCCATTCTTGTACATCTCCCTTCATTTCATATTAGTTGGACACTTCGCTCTTGGCTCTAGCCCTCTGTGGCTATGTCCTTATCCATGGGCTTTGGAGTCCACAGGTCTCACCACACTTCTGACCTACCAGCCCTTCCTTTTGTCTTTCTGAGTCTGTGGAACATGGTCAAACTCAGCCCAATATCTTCATTGCTGCCTTTCCACCTCTTCCACTCACCAGTAAACCAATGTGGTGGCCAGCAAGCTTACATACCTGCTCATGTGTTCCCTTTGTCTCCACAAACTTTTATCATCCAGCAATGGTTGTGGAATTGAATTTAAATAGGACTTGACCATGGGGATCTTGAGTAAATTATTCTGCTTAGATTAGGTCATCTTTGAGGCTAAGCAGATTTTGTAGACGTTATTGAACTAGAAGCCTACGTATTAGCTAAGCAATGTAAATAAATGGGCAGACTTAATGTTTAATTTCATAGTTTTAAACTTGTGCTATTTAGGATAAGCGTTACTGAGCAGTTTCTGGGGTGAGGACCTTTCAATGATAAAACTGGGAAGTTCCTAGCAAACGGGTGCATTGGTTGTCCTGTGTGTTATTGTTGTTAGCTGCTATCAAGTTGACTCTGACTCATGCTGACCCAGTGCTCAATGGGATGAAACACTGCTGGTCCTGTGCAGTCTCCATATCAGTTGTGGCTCATGCTTTTGTGATCCTTAGGGTTTCATTGACTGGTTTTTGGAAGTCAATTGCCAGGCCTTTCTTCCTAGTCCTTCTTAGTCTGGAAGCTTCACTGAAAACTACTTGTTCAGCATTATGGTGGTGATTGTGTGCCATGGAGACAATTCCGACTCACAGTGACCCTGTATAGGGTTTCTGAGGCTATCAGTCTTTCAGAAAGCCTCATCTGTCTCCTGTGGACCTGCTGGTAGATTCAAACTGCTGACCTTGTGGTTCACAGCTGAACTCATAACCCACTACACTACCAGGGCTCCTTGTTCAGCATTATAGCAACATGCAGACCTCACTGACAGAGGGGTGATGGCTGAGCATGAGATACACTGTTGTCTTTTCAAAGAACTTAATGTTTATAAATGCAAGGGTAGCTTGATTGTGTTGTTGCTTTAATTTCAACTGTTGCTTGCTGTTGGTCATAACCAAGATTTGTTAATTAGCTGCCCCTCATGCTGATCTCTTTCTGAGTTGCATTAATGATCTTGGCTGCTTTGGCAGAAAGGAGAGGATTTAAAGCAGATGTGGGGTTCTCATTCTTGACTGCATACTATAGGCATCTTGGGAGGCGGGCAGTTAAAGAATACGGATAGCTGAGCTTTGTGCTCCAGTCTGTTAGAATATAATTCTTAGGAAAGGAGCTTTGGCTTTGTTAAAAAAAAAATTTTTTTTTTTTTTTAAGTCCCCTGGGAGTCCTTAATGTGCAGTGCGGGTTGGGAACCAAAACACCAGAAAAGGATGTGGAGGCACATTATCTGTATATGGTGGTGAAGATAGTGTTCAGTCTGCTTATGTCTCTGCCCTTGTGTTTTCATCTGGCTTTAACAAAAGGATTGAAATAACAAATGCTGTTTATGAATGCTTACTGCCTTGAAAACCCTACATTGTGAACTTTTGCTTTTCTATCATTAAAACTCCAAATGCAGCAAGCATACTGTTACATTTTCAAATATGCAAAGATGAATACATTCAGAATTGCCAAGAATTATTAACACACTGCCTCTGAATTTTCCCAAGCTAGTATTTAATTGTACCCGTCTCATTGAGCCAACTTCCTTTTTATATGTAAGCAGAGAATTTTGACGTTCTTCTTGTATCTCATATCCAAATTCTCACTAATTTATTTGCTCTCTATTTATTTTTTATTATTTTCCCCCTTAGTCTTTTCTTGAGGAAATTGTCTCCTAAATTTATTGCACTTGTGGTTCCCTATCTATCACTACGGAAGCAACAGATCTCCCACACACCTCCCCAATAGGTTTTTCTTTTCCTGGAAGTTGAGATGGTGGGGGGGAGGGGGGTTGTTCCTGGAATCCCAATTATTTCTTTGGGACTCTGGAAGTAACACCTAACTGGATGGAAATAATTGTTGGGCTGTTGGTTATTTAAATAAATTTAGACAGTAAATAGAACCAGCCACCTTATCTTAAGTGGCCTAAACAGAATGCTGCTCTCAACCTGGTGGGGCATTGTAGGATAAAGCACTGGACCACGTGGTTGGTGGTTCAAACTCACCAGCCACTGCTTGGAAACCCTATACAGAGTTCCTATGAACCAGAACCTACTCAGTGGCACTTAACAACAGCTTAATGTAATGGGGAAAATGTATTACCTTAAGACTGTGGGTGACCTTTTATTGTATATTTTTGTACCATTAAATGATTTATAGCAGACACAAAAGATTTATAAATAGCAGACACAAGATTGTCCTCTGCTGTTTCTCCATTTAAAATTTATTTAATACTGAAAAGCTGGGGCTGTTTTTAATTTTTTTTTTTAATTCCTGAGATGGGAGCTGACAGTTTCTTACTCAACTTTGCTTTCTTTAGGGCTTACAACCATGGCTTTGAGATCTCAGCCACACTTTAAGTCAAGGTCTACCTTCAGTCAAAATCAGTTTAATAACCCCTTTTAAGGAAAACTTTTAAAATTAAAGCTGTATTTTAATTGTAAGGAATCCTTAATTCTGGGAGGTAAAACTGAAATTCCTGAAGCCCAGCTGTTCCTTTACTGCCCCCTACTGGCTCATCCAGGCCATGTATGTCATGAAAAGATGGAGTTTGTTTTTTTTTGGAGGGTTACTATGAGTTGGAATTCACTGGGAGGCAATGGGTTTTTATATATATATATATATATATATATATATAAGGAGCTCTGGTAGCGTAGTGGTTACGAATCGGGCTGTGAACCGGAAGGCCAGCAGTTCGAAACTACCAGCTGCTCCGCGGGAGAAAGATGAGGCAATCTGCTCCCGTAAAGATTTACAGCCTTGGAAACCCTATTTCAGGGTCGCTATGGGTCGGAACCGACTCGATGGCATTTAACAACAACATATATATATAAAACAAAAGCATTGGCCATTTCAATGTATCATATGTGTATAATTCACTGACATTATGTTCATCATGTCCTTATAACCATCACCTCTATCCATTTAAAAACATTGGATGATCCCCCCTATGTGAAATACCTAAAATAAGCAAATATTTAGAGACATAAGCTTATTAGTAGTTACTGGGGCCTGGAGCGAGAGGAGAAGAGGACATTATTGCTTAGGGAAACCATGCTTCTCTTCAGAATGATGGAAATATTCAGAAATGGAAATTCTTTCTATGTGAATGTGCTTATGAATACTGTTGCTCTCTTCTCCAGGGCTTATTGATTATAATTTTCATTGCTTCCGGAAGGCCATCCATGAAGTTTTTGAGGTGAGAATGAAAGTGGTGAAATCTGGAAAAGTTCGGAAGAAGAAAGGGAGCACCCCTAACGGGACCCCAAGAGTGCTACTGTAGGTGTGGTGTCTGGAGCATCTGTTGAAGTCAGACCTCTGCAAGGCTGCTGCACTGGGCTGCACTAAGGAAGGGGAAGAAGGAGACTGGCACACATGCCATGGATTTGTTGTTAAGAAAAAAAAAGAATTCCTGCAACCCACTTGATCTCTTTTTTAAATAAAGTAAGCACTTTGAAGCAAAACCTTGTATATTAACAATCCACTGTAATTTTGTTACGCAAATGTAAACTTTTTTGGTCTGTAGTAAGAAAAATCAGACGTGAACTACCAGAATCTGTATATATTTTGCACTTTTTCATGTTTTTTTCTCATTGAACTGAACTTTGATAAAACGACTTTTCTAAGCTTTTTTCTGTACTTGGTGTGAAGGACATGCATACTGGGTCCATAGATATACGGTCATCGAAAGTTAGTCAAAAAGGGATGCATTGACAATGACTTTATAAATTGGGAATATTTGCTACCAATTATTGAGAAAAACCATTTTTCTGGTGCAGTTGGAACAGGTTGGGGCAGGAGGCTCTAGTAGCAATAAGCAGTGTCCTCTATTTATAATGGGTGTAAAAAGGAGTTTTGTAGACTAACATTAGCAGCAAACTTATATACCAATTTCTATAGCCTTGACCGTGCCCCCCTAACTCAGTTTTTATGAAGGTCTTTACCTCAACACACATTTCTCGAGTCACTTTATACAGAGGCTGGTTCTTTGTGCTGCACTACTGTTCTTTTGAACCACTGGGACCAGATTTCCAACATGGTGCCCACCACTGGAGAGAAAGAAGGGTTTCCCTGTAATGCAGGGGTTCTGGAGGCTTCCCTTCATCTGCCACCCAGAGCTAAAGCAATATCAGAGGTCAAAAAGTTTCACAAAGGCAGGTGATTGACTACTGAAGAATAAAAAATACATATCTAAATCTCCATATTTCCGATCCACGGGAAAATTCCATTATTTTTAACTCCATTTTTCCATGAACGTTTTGAAGACCCCTCTTAAACTTAAAAAGTTTAGGACCAGTTTGTTACTGCTTTGTGACCACAGTGAGTGGGAGTGGGTCTCAGATATCCACTGATGAATGGAATCCTGCTGGGCACATTTGTCACCCCTGAGGAGTGAGTCTCCTTTTCATCTTCCAGTAGTATGTATTGTGAACCCCACCCATTTCTGCTTTATGACCGAACTAGAATGCAGCTGGCCACCACAAGAGCCATTCTGAAAATTCCCAGTTGTCAGTGAGAAAAGGATGTCCAGCCAGAGGCATTACAGTTAGCTGTGTATTGTTTCTATGGAATTCTTTCACTTGTTTTCTTTAAACTAGCAGGAAATTAAGACTCCAAAGTCTTTCTCCACCTCAAACCATGAGAAGCAGAGAATTCTATGTCCAGTGGTCAGTACCCTAAGGCATATACTTCCGGGGCATTAGAAAGCTTTTGTTTTTAAGCAAAGCCTCCTCGAGTGATCAAAACTGGTCCTGGCAAAGTGAATGAAGTCCCGAATGCCACTTCCCCTATCTATGGCTATACCCTATCCCACCTCTTATCTATGGCTTCTTTTCGTCTTCTCCCTCTCATCAAGTCCTATACCTTTGGAGCTGTAACTGAAATTTCAGACAGCAAATCGAATTTAACGTTTGAGCCTCTTAAAAGTCTGCAGTTTTGGTAAGAAATTCTAGAACTCAGTAAGGCACCCAAAATCCCTTCTTGATAATTTCTACTGAGGAACCCCAGCGTCCCAGGGAGGTTTTTCCAGCACTTCCAGAGCTCTACTTTGTTGAACCCATCCCAACAGGCCTGATACATATGGGTTATTCTCATAAATCTAATTCTCTTAATATTTTGTACAGAATATTTCTCTTTGAATAATAAAATCAAGTAAAGAATCAGTTTTCTAATGTGAATTTTTAACTCTAGATAGAGATACCTATCAGGTAAACCATACATTACTTAGGTATATACATTATTGTAACTAGGTAGAGCTTCCATTTTTAAGCTGAGTATATGATGGATTTGTTTTGTTGTTAAAATGTGCCTTAAAAGCCTATGACTTCAAGAGCAAATGTTTCTTTGAGGAAAGGGCAAAAATAATCCTATGGCTTTGGACCCAAATTATGGTAGTAAGTACATTCATTGATTAATCACACACTGACACCAATTACTGCCTCATATCTGTAAGTGTGACAATGACCTCTTAATTAAAGGGAGATGTAAGAGTTACATCTAAGTATTCAGTTTTTCAAGTCTGTGCTATTTGAGGTTACAAAATCTCTTTATGTCCTTTTGCATTTAACTTTTGATATGGGAGTTAGCTTACTGCAGTGGGAATGACCACATTTAGGTCTCATCTAATACGATATAAATATGGTTACAGTGGCTATACTGTAACATATTTGCTCATTTTCAAAGGTTGAGCACTTGACCTACACATTTGTAGAGCAGGACAGCCCTCTAGCCTTTGAGTTGAGTCTCTGTTAGTGAGTTATCATCTCTGGTTATTTTCAGTGAAACAGATTAACACATGTATGTATGACCAGAGTGACTGTTTCTGAAGAAATACTAGTAGACATTCATGGAAAATGTTACTTTGTAAATCTAATACATTTTGGGCCCTTAAATATAAAATGAGTAAACTCACAGCAATATTGTTATATACAGGTTATATGCTAACTGTTTTAACCATACCCCAGAAAAACAGCTGATTTGTCTTGATTATTAAAGTATCGTATGCATTCAACTTGTATGGACTGGATATGATTTGTGATCTAGTATAGTATTAGGTTTTTAATTTTAAGAAGCACATCATTTGTAAACCTTTTGAAACCATTGCTTTCAAAATGTTAAATGCGAATTTAAAAGCATCTATCACATGTTCAAGATGTGGGAAAACTTTCACTTTAATCCACCATACTCATATTAAGCTTTGTGGGAGCAGACTGGTCTCTTTGGTGGAAAGGCAGTATGGCCTTTCCTATGTGTGAGGTCACTCATTGGCCATGATTGTGCACCACTTTTGGGCCACTCAGTAAAATTCATTTGTCTAGATTAACCCGCTCTCATTTCATGAAAATGAAGATACATCACTCTATCTAAATCGGACTTCTTTTATTTTGTAATTCTTTTTATCTCTCCATAGTTCTGATGTAGACATTCTTTCTGCTCTGATCATAATCCCTACCCTTCTGGAAATTGTTTTCCTAACAGTCCACCCATCATTCCTTACTTAGCTTAGTAAAAGCCTATTCTATAATGACTTTATATCAATGCAGAACTCATAAGAGTTCTCAAAGGAGCCCTGGTGGCACAGTGGTTAAGTGCTCGGTGCTAACGGAAAGGTCGGCAGTGTGAACCCACTAGCTACTCCACAAAAGAAAGATGTAGCCATCTGCTTTCGTAAGGATTTACAGCCTTAAAAATCCTATGGGCTAATGACTGGGGGGCAGGCTTGTAGTGTATACCCTTTGGTTGGTTGATGATGCATGGAGGGGATTGTAGCCATGGCAATGAAACAATATACGATAGGATGTATGTAAAACTAATGTTCTCCCATGTAAACTATCACATAATTCACAATAAAACATTAAAAAAAAAAAACAACAACCTTTTGGGGCAGTTCTCTATCTTATAGGGTCACTGGGGGTTAGAATACACTATGACAATGGGTTTGATTTTGGTTTGGTAAAAGACAACACAGAGGGCTAGCATTAGATGTTATATCTTAACTAAGAGATCCTGTTTGTGGTTGGAAAATCTGGTCTGAAATAATTATTCCAAGATGTGTAATCAGTAGTCATACTGCGTTTAGGAGAAAGAAAATGCAGGGTGTTTTTTTTAAAAAAAAAATTTAAGTTTTTATTGTGAATTGAGTGATAATTTACATGGGAGAACATCGGTTTTACACTCATCCTATCATATTTCATTTTATTGCAATGATTACAATACCCTCCATGTATCATCATTCAACAGTATTTGCACCTGTTCCTTCTATTTTTTGTTTTTTGTTTTTTTTTTCCTACATAAAACACTCAGGAATATATAATCATTTAAACAACCAAAGGGCACATTCTGCAAACCTGCCTCCTCACCACTAGAACACAGCCTTTCTCTTTCCATGAGTCTAGTGTCCTCAGCTGCTCCCTCTCTCCCTGTCTTCATCTTTGCCTCCATTTCTGGTGTTGCTGCTTCTCTGGATAGGGTCACAAATTCCGCTGATGCTCTTCTCCCTTGATGTTTCTAGGGCCCTCTGTTCCTGGACTTTACTCCCCTTTTTGTTACAAAACTTTGACCTCTGCTGTGTGACAATCACCATTAGCCATGGTAACAATTATTCACTATTGAATCATAAGAATCTTGTTCCCATCTCCTTTAACCAGACCCATGTAGACAAGATGAAAACTACTCAGTGGGGCTTCTACTTTTCCCTGCACTCTGAAACTAAACTTCCTCTTGAAAACTTGTAAGCCAGTCACTTTGTGTTTTTATTGCCCCCTCACTTTAGGTAGCCAGTGTCGAAGTTTCCCAACCCTATCAACCTGTGTACAGAGTGGATAGGAATGATTCTTGATGTGAAGATTTCTTTCTTCTCAGTTGGTATTTTGAGCTGATACATAAGTATAGGTCAAGTTAATCAAATTGTAGCAATTTATATTTATTCCTTTATCAAAAATGTTTATCTTCCTCTAGTCAAGTTCTGATCATCAAGCCACTGAAGTTAGGTCAAATGGGTACTCTGTGCAAGTTTGGCCATTCTTTTTTTTTTTTTTTTAGATTCATCCATTCTTTTAATTTACAGCTTTGCTTGAGCACAATAAACAGGAATCATTTAAAGAGTACTATTTGGTCAGTCAGGATATATATGTATATACACCCATGAAACTGTCGCCAAAATCAAAATAATAGATGTACCCATTTCTCTAGAGGATTCCACGAACCTCATATGCTCCCCATCCACAGCAATCCTTGATCTTGCATCATAGATTAGTTACCATTTTCTAGAATCTTTCATGTGAGGATAAGTTTAAAAGTATTGCTACAAAATCACAGTAACCTTTATTAAAATAACAAAAATATCAAAACGTGAAGGTATTCTTAACACATCCTCCATCTAGGTCCATACACTTCTGAAGGCAGTGATTCCATCTCTCTAAGCCTCCCCAGAAGAATTCTGCACTCTGATTTACAATATGTCAAAATGGCAGTTTTGA